GGACAAGCGAGGAAGTGTCTGGCCAGAAGACGCTCTCCTTGGCAGGGCTCGCACGTTTCAGTAATAAATACCACCCCGATCCGCACCGGGGATGCTGCTTTTAATTTTCTGTCTACATCCCCACAGCGTGCTAATGAGAGGAAAAGATTTTGTAAAAAACTGTAATAATAACAACAATAATTGCGTGCTTGAAAGCAAGACTTTTTCCTCTCCTGGCAATATTTGAAAGCATTCCCCCGCAGTTTTCTCTCCCGTGGCCTTTGGTCGGGTGTCCCGGAGCACCTGCCCGAGCGGGGTGCGGGGTCGGAGCCGGGGTGGGGTGGCCCTGCGAGAGGCTCACGGCTCCCACACCCGCTACCTGAAAAATAACGCACCTGGAAAGGGCTCAAAAGGCAGAGGAGTTTGGAAACGGTCTCACCCAGCGCGTTTCCAGAACATCGCCTTGTTCTTGCGTTTCCCGATTGCTAGCCGTGTTATCACGGCCGATTTCTCTGGCAAAAATGAGTAGAAGTGGTTAAATGAGCTGGCTTTAAAGTGACTGGTGATAGAGATGCAGCTTTGCTTTGAAAATGTGATGGGGGTGTGGATGAGGTTGACTAAGGCGCTCCGGCGTGGGGGAAGCGGCTGGGGTTGCAGAGGAGCCCTTTGCACGGGGCCTGCTTGCGCAGGTCACCAGGGTCAGACTGGGTGGAAATAGGAGGAAAATGGGGTGTCTTCTGGTTCGGTAACTCGGCGTAGCACTCAGAGGCTCTCTAGGTGTGGATCACGGGGATTCTGATTCACAGGGGCTGCGGGGTAAGGAGGAGGAGCTTTCAGAGAACCGTGATTATAATTTAATTGAGCGTTAGATTCAGTTGGTATTATAGTTACTCTTTATAGAGGGACGCGAGAGCTCTTACGTTATTGCACTCGCATTGCAGTTTTCGTTTGAACCGTCTGAGCCTTCTCCTACCTTACAGCAATTCAAAGGATGCGGTCACAGTTCATTAGAATAAGGGAAAGATCTAAACTAAATATTAAACTATTCAGAATATTATTACAATAAGAGTACTTACATGCGATAAAAGGCCAGAAAAAGGATTAGACCGTTCCCCAATCTTTTTGTGTTCATATACATATACATGTCTTCTATTTGGGCCCTCTCTTTGCATTGCTGACGGGCAGGTATAGATTTGACCGATTTACTGGTGCAGCAGGAGTACGCATTGCCCCTTGCACCCTTCCGCTGTGGGTGCCTCCGCGTTTGCACGTGCAGTATGCGGCGCATACTTTTGTAAATATGCCGAAGATATATACGCCCTTATTTACTGGTAAATTAATTTGAAACTCAGTTGAAATAATTTTGACCATTTAAAAAATTATTTCATTTTTCCAGTGTAACTTGCATGCAGCTGTCCAGTGGTTTTAGAGCAAAGAAGCTGCATGTGTCATACAGTGAAACACTTGACTGCGATATAACAGAATGGGAATTGTCTCTGAAAAGGGAAAAAAAAGACAGATTTGGGCTATAGAAATCTCGGCTAAACAGTAACTTGAAAGTAAAATAGCTCACAGACAACAAACTTTTTGGAGGTTTATTGGCAATAAATAAAATGTTGATGATAATGTTTTGAGTGGTGTGTTAAGTGTGTCATAATTCTCTCGCAGAGATCTCTAGTTAAAAAGTACTCTGGATATAGCACTGTTTTAATTTAAAAAAACAGATATAAATCATATGCAGGAGCGGAAGTATGTTATAAACAGTGCTGGGTTTGATTATAATTTTTTGAACTAATGTTGGCTTAGCATTAGATTTGAATTTTAAGCATTAATATTTACATGCGCTGGGGAGGGAGTCCGTGTTGAGTGTGCTAACTAATAAGATTGTTAACGCAAACTGGTTTTGTGGGGAAGAGTATTAGACGAGTAGCTATTAATATAGCTCTAACTATCTAGTGATATTCCAGCATAACAGAAATAGATATTGTGCACCCAGGTCCAAATCATATTCACTTCTTAATCTCAATGGCCAGCGCTACTTTATTCGAGGAGACTCGTCAGCATTTGGCCCTCTCTTTCTGTATCTGCCTGGGAGTTTTTACTGAAAGTCATCAAGACCCAAATTGCCACGTTAGATGTTACAAGTGGCTTCTGTATGATGCTGATAGTAGCGAAGAGACTTAGTGGACCTAAAGGCAGGGAAAAAAAATAGGGACGTGAAGTCTAAAACCTCTCCCCAGTAGCACCACAGTAGTTAAGGGTCTGTCAGCATTTCTACTCCAAACCCCAATTTTCAGAGTTTATAACTCAGCTGTTTTAAATAGGTTCAAGCTGAAACCTGCTGTACAAATTGTCAGCCCAGATGTATATTTTGAAACAAAAAGTAGTGCAAATCAGTTATTCTGTTTTAAGTTACAGAACATTAAAATATTTTTAATAGTATCAGATGCTCTTTTGGCAATCTCTGGAAAAGGCGTTCTCACTACGGAAGGTTTTATATTCAGAGGCTGTTTGAATTCAGTCTTTCGCAAGAAAAGTTGTTGAAGTGGTAGATATCAATGTTGGAGAGGAACTATTTAGCATGTACACTAGCTTTTTTTCCAAACAAGCATTTTACTCTGCAGAAAGTCTTAGTACCTGCTGTTGTACAGTAGTTTTGCTTCGTGCTTATAACTTCTGTCTTTAGGGTGCATACTTTGGCCAGTTCAAATCCCACCGGACCGAAACTGGGCAAACAGGTTGCCTAACCAGACGAGAATTGTGTTATGCAAAAAATACATCGTTATTTTCATCTTGTAAGAATTGGTTTGGTTTTATTTTGTGGCTTCATCTGATTTTATGTGCCTTTTTGAGCTTTAGTTAAAAAAAGAGCAAAAGCAAAGTCTATCTTTAATCACCAAAATGTGTAGGTAGTTTAATATGAAAAATGAAGATTTTGAAACAGTAGAGATATTTATGTTTGAAGAATAGGTAAGGAATGCGCACTGTGGCTACTTTTAGTCTTTAATTTTTTATGCAGTCCTTATTCATTTCACAGTGCACTTACAATCTGCTTTCTAAGAATATGTAAATAATTTTGGATTGATACATGGCATAAAATTACCGAATCAGGTGTTATGCCAACAGGCTTTCAGTAGGTGAAGTTACTTTTTAAAATTCTCAAAACGGTGTGTATTTCTCCAGGTTTCAAACTTGTTTTGCAGAGCTTTTTTCTAACCAGTGCTCTTATGTATGTGTGCAACAGTCTTCTGGTATTTCATGGCAAAAAAAGGATGAAATCAGGAAAAGAGCAGGCACTTTGCTCCTGTTGCGTAGCAGGGGAGCTTAGCATGTAATAGGACGGACTTTTATTAGCCAAAGTTTTTATTTTCACCTCCAATTTCAGTTTGGCTTTTCCTTCGGTCTTTTCCTAGCGAGACGAATAGCGATATTGCATCATACCGCATCAAAAAGCCGGTGCATGTTAGTTATGATGCCGTTCTTGATTAGGCACGATCAGCCCGGTGGCTCTGGCAGCGGCACGTGCAGGTTCGGGCTGATGCCTCAGCTGACAAATTGAACTGACATCGTCGAGTGGAAAGGGTAGGGAGGAAACCTCTGAAAAGCAACGGGGGGGCCTTTTAAGAGGTTTTGCTGCCTCGTGCCCAGGTGTTGCAAGCTGGACCCGTGTTCGGGAGGCGGGTTGAGACGGAGCCGCGATGCCGCTGCCTGCTCCGTGCTCTGGTTACCTCGAGAGAAGGAGGTGAGCTGAGGCTGCAGTCGTTTCGCTCCCTCTTCCGAGGCCCCTGGCAGACTCGCACTTCCTCCTGTGCTCTCGGCTTCTTTGCATTTCTGGAGTTAATGTGATTTTTTTTTGTTTTGTTTTGTTTTGTTTCGTGAGATATAAAAAGCATAGGTTGCAACTCCCCTGGATGCTAAAGTGCATGACAAGACTGTCCCGCGATAACGTGGTCTATCGCAAACTGGGAAGGGAGTGTTTTATAAGTAGTCTCAAGCCCCATGCTTCAGAGTTTGAGCCAATATCCATTTATTAAGGGTTAGAGTCAGCTCTATAATCTGTTCAGCAGAATATAATTTGTTATCTGATTATTATTTATTATTCCTTACACCTCACTGTGAAGCCGTCAGACCTGGTTGCTGTCAGACCCCGGGCAGTGAGCTAGTGGGACCTCAGATCTTATCCACAACAGTGGTTCCTGTGTTTTTATCTTCAGGGACGTTCATATAATTTTAAAGTAAAATCTTTGCTTGATAGACGGAGACCTCACAGTATTTTGTGGCAAAACTCAGTTTACAGTTTGGGGTGGTATTACCTGGTGTTTTATGGGAAAACAGGCACCACCAGGGTAGATCCTTTTTATTCAGCGTTTCAGCTTTGCTTGCTTCCTTCTCTTCAATATTTCTTTTTAATAAGACAAGCTATCATTTCCACTAATACAGTCTGTTTTAGATATTTTCAGAGTTTGTATACCTTTGTCATTAATTTTTATTGTTTTACAGAAACATTGTACAAGTGCACTGGGCCACATCATGCTCTCCCTATATATTCAGAACTCCTTATTCTTTCCACTTAATTAATTTTAAAGTGCAACCTGCAATTATTAGTTTCAGACATGATCATTTATGGGAAAGACATTTCAAGCAGGGCTTATGACAAAATGTAATATATATTTCAGGAGACAGAATAAATTACTCTGAATAATATAGAAAGTCATATCTGACCATGTGAACTGGTAGAAGCTGCAAGGGGACAGGCTTTGTACCTCAAGATTACTTTTTTTCAAGTTAGAGCTCAGCCATGCAGTATTTGTGAATCTCTTTTTGTTACAAATTTATTTCCAGCGTCGGTATTAGTTAACTGGGCAAAAGGAAATGATTTTCTTGATACTTTTCTGGACTTTTCTTACCCCATCTGAAGAAACGTATATTTTCTTCCTAGTAACTTAGTACTCCTATTTAACTTTATTTTTACTTTAAAAAGTCACAGTGCAGTAACACTGTAGGTGTCCCTGGTGTTTTCAAATTAGAAGAGAGGAGCTGCCTGCTCCGTGGCATTTATCTAACCAGATGTTGGAGCACTACACAACCACTGAAGCATAAAAGTGAGACTATCAGCTAGTTGAAACGTAAGGAGAAATACTTTAATATCTTCTGATCACCCGTCCTGGAATTTGAGGGAGGTATCAGCGCTAACCACACGCGACTCTTGCGAGCGCTATGAAAATTTACATGCCTGCGAGGAAATACAGCCTTTGTTTTATACTGCATCTGAAGAGTTTGAATTCCAGCCACGAAGTGCTCCATCACCGCAGCGTGTTGGGTGGAGAGCCGTGCCTGCTAATGCCCCGGTGCCACTCCTGGGACGGGTAGATGGGGATTTCTCTCTAGTTTGAAGTCTGAGGAGCTCCGGGGTCAGAGTGATGGGTGCAACCAGCAGAGAAGTAGAACCAAATCTGGGTGATATGGCTGCTAATACTGATTTCTAACTTTCCATTTCAAATGCGCTCCTGCGTATAACTTATGGATACGAGCCATGCCTCATGTTTTCTCGCTGCTCGCTGGTTGCTAAGAACAAAGTTGGCCTTCAGGAAGCATTAAACCATACACTCTACATAAGGATGTTAGATGTTTCTGAAGAAATGTAACAAAGAAGAAACTCCCTATTAGGCTATGAGAAAGGGAGACAATACAAGATGTTTCTTTGTTTGATGTGGCACTTTGTTCTGTGTTCAGCTAATACATGGCTCTTCACCACAGCGGGCTGGAGAAGCTGCCACAGAGCTTCGTAATGAGCATGGCAGCCTGCAAAGCTGGGATGGAGACACGCGTTGTCAAAGTGCGGCTTCACGAGTTGTGCTTGTCTTCCCCTTTTAACAGGTGGTGGCCTTAGGAGAAGTGCCCGATGGGACGGTGGTCACCGTCATGGCTGGAAACGATGAGAACTACTCTGCAGAGCTGCGAAACGCTTCTGCCGTGATGAAGAACCAGGTGGCCAGGTTTAATGACTTACGATTTGTGGGCAGAAGTGGAAGAGGTAGGCCACTGCATTTTACATGTCCATAATGAAGTAAAAACAATGTCTAGACGTCAAACTCACTTTGCAATGAAATACTCATCAATCTGTAAATACAACGCTGTCGGCCTTTCATTTGGAGGAATGAGTGCATGTTTTATTTGCAAACTTCAGCATTTGTGCAAACCAAGTTAAGTGTTTCTCTTAAGTTTTTCTGCCTCCTCACGTGTCCGTACGTTTTCATGAGAGACAGATTTTGAAAAATGATTCACAGAATTCACCTGCTTCCCTATTTTAATCACACAGCAAAGGTAGAAGGAAATGGGGGTGCTGGTGATCTGAGCTATGTGTAGTCAGAGTGTGTATCTCAGGCCATGGCAATGAGAGATGGAGAATTCCCTTTAGCAGTAGAGCTGCTTCTGAAGTTGTTGTAGAAGACCTATAATTAAGGAGATTTTGCATATCACATGTGCTATAGGTTATATTCTTTAAGGGCTTGCTTACATCTTTAAGGGTTTACAGCTATTGGTAGAAAGCTTTCTAGTGACTTCCCTGCCCTTTATGATCAAACTGCATATGACCTGCAAAAATAAGCCCTACTTTTCTGTTTAGTAAACTGGTTGACTTTTTATGAATTGCTGGTAAGCTTGGGCTTGAACTAAATTTAACTTTTACTTTAAACGACAGGGTAACTTTCAATTTTTTTGAAGATGTAGAGTGCTGTCATTGTCTTCCAGCTGTTTAGGAGCTTCCTATAATCTGGGAACTGCACTGCACTCATAGGAAGCCCTTGTAATCATTGCAAGTTTGCAAGAATTCCTCTTTAAGAACCTTGTTAGCTGCTTTCAAATTTGAGGTAATGATTGAAAGGGTAGCTTGAAGGAAGCTGGCACTTCAGTTTTTGCTGCAGGAATCTTCAGAGGGGGCTTGTTGTATCAGCCCTTGATTCAACCTACGTATCTTTTTTTCTTTATGTATTGGAAGTAATTATTCCATTTTTAAACTAGCCCTGCACGGGGCAAAATAAAGCAATAGAAGCTGAACAACTGTGTTGGGAAATTAGCAATAAAGCTAATTTTACAGTAATATTCTTCAGAAAGCAGTTGTAATTCATCTTAAGGAAGGAAAGAGTATTTGTCCAAAAAAAATTAAACATATGACAGAGGCCTAGATAGTCTAAATCAGTCAGCACACTTTTACAATTACAAGTGCTTTGTGAAAATGATTCCATAAGCATGGCTTACAATGGCTATTTGTTATTTTAGTGAGCTGGCCAACAATTCTCTTTTTCATTTTACAACTTGAAAAGTATTGATAATAAAGAATAACTTGAAATACAGAATAACTGTCGCAAAAGTAATGCAACATAAATACGGAGTTTATTGCCCTTTTGGATAAGGTGTTACCTATCTCTTCCATTTGTCTTGCTTGCTTTAAAAAAACCAGTCTGCTTTGTTATTCTGCTGATGGATTAGGTTTGAAAGTTCTCTGGCTCCATCCCTAATGCTGCCTTACAGTAAAAGTTCAGTAGTGTATCAGTCTTTCAGTAGTGCTGAAAAAGAACTGAAATGTGATGTACTACCTCTGATCTGTGAATTTCATTTGAAACCTATGATATATACTTTTTATTAAAGCATAGGAAATGAAATAGGGGGCCTAAAGCCTCAGTAAATACGGCTACAGACCCATACAAACACAAACCTCCTAAAATTTGGTTCCAGTAGTTTAATTTATATTTGCATCTAGCAGACTTGGAATAGACTTTTTCTCTGATCAATCTGGGTAGAATCTATGGAAAAGCGATAGTGTACTTTTCAAATCCTCAACATATTTATTTAAGAGACTTCAAAGAAAAACAAAGGGTGTGCACTGTTTTACTATATTGGCTTTCTGAGTTTTGGCTAGTTTCCCAAATAGCAATTTTTATATTTAAAAAAAAAAAAAAAAGGAAAAAAAAAACTGGCTTTAACTCTTTCAAAACTTTTACGCCTGGAAGATGA